TATATATATATTTTTTAAAGAATTTTATTATATTCATTATATTATTGTATAATTATAAAGATAATATATTTTATTTTGCATAATATTGTATTTAAAATATTATTTTTATTTGCATTATATATTGCGTAAAATTATAAGTCACTTTTTTATTTCTCTCAAAATAAACAGATACTATATTATTTTAATCAAATATATTTTGTAACTATAAACCTAATATACATAAATATAAAGCTAGTTTTGCATAATAGTTTATATAAATGAATATATTTTCTTTTGACAGTGAATGCAGTAAACTGATATTTTGCGTACAAAATGTTTGCGTACAGTTTTATTAGAACACAATGTTTTTTTTAATGTAAGCTTTCTAGATTTAGCGTAGAATTTATATTGCTAATAATTAAATGTATATGTTAAATCATTTCTGCCACCTATTATTTGTTTTAAGTGTAGACCAAATAGGTATCATAATCCTATATCTTTACATAAACCATTCAGATCTTATTTTATACTCTTAGATAACAGAATTACTAATAATAATTATTTATGTTTTGTATTTTTAAAATATTTTTCATTATATTTTATTATCTACAATATTTCAATCAGCTACTTTTTTTAAAAATCGCTTTAGTGTCCTTAGTGATTTTTTTTTTAACAGTTTTTCCTTTTTTGTATTTATCTTTGAATTACACTGATATATTTTATATATAATAAAATTTTGCATTCATATTTACAGTAACATATTAATTGTTTCGTAACAGCTCTGTGTGTATGGATCTGTGATGTGTGTGCGTATCAGGGCTCAGATTTTACGTTAGGGTGGTGACCCAAATTTGTATGTTGTACAAAGGTTCACACAAATTTCCTTAAAATCAAACACTGAAACTTATTAGTATGACCAAGAACAGCACAGACACAACAATATGCAAAATTATTAACATGACAGGCAGAAAAGCAAAGTTGACAATTGAGTAAATTTAGTAAAAACAACAGCCTGTCCGAATCAATGCGAAACTTGTGAATGTGGCTTCTGTATTTTCATGCCGTCCGTGATTCTGTCCAAACAGACCATGCATTTGAAAAACACTTGAATGTTATCTTAAGATGTGTTTTTACGAAATGTGCTCAGGGTGAAGCAGCCCCCAGCTGAAGGGGTGAAGTCTAACCCGTCCAAGCGTCATCGAGATCGGTTGAACTCTGAGCTGGACCGGTTGGCCAGTCTCCTTCCGTTTCCAGAGGAGGTCACGAGCAGCCTGGACAAACTCTCCATCCTGCGGCTGAGTGTCAGTTATCTACGTGCTAAGAACTTCTTCTCTGGTGAGTTCACGTGCCGCTCCATGACTTTGTTGGATGTGATTTGTCTTTGTCCAAGTGGCTGGATGTGTGTGTAGCTGTGTAGACCGACAGTACTGTTGTAGCACCGTGCCGTAATGCGAGGTCACTCAGGCAGAACGGTCTGTTATTTAGATATATTTTAGATGCAAATTTCATATTATGCTGTAGACAACTGAAAATGCAAACAACTTAAAATGCCTTAATTTATAGACTGCAATTTTGTACAATTAGATAGATAGATAGATAGATTACAGACAGACAGACAGATAGATAGATAGATAGATAGATACAGTCAGATTATAGACAGACAGACAGACAGACAGATAGATAGATAGATAGAGTCAGATTATAGACAGATAGATAGATAGTCAGATTATAGATAGACAGACAGATAGATAGATAGATAGTCAGATTATAGATAGACAGATAGATAGATAGATAGATAGATGAACAAATAAACAAATTGATATTTGGATAAATGAACAGATAGAAAAACAAACTGATAGATAAACAGAGAAAGTTAGATAAAGAATGGACAGATAGATAGATAAATTACACTGATATATAGATAAATTAGCAGATCGATAAAACAAGATAAATAGATAAACAAACAGATAGATGGAAAGATAGACAAAAGATAGATAAACAAACAGACTGACAGGTGTAGATAGATAAATAAACAAATAGACAAACAAACAAATTAATACATAGAAAAACAGATAGACAGAAAAGCAAATGGGCAGATAAACAGACAACAATAAACAGATAGATGGGTGTAACAAACTGATATATAGATAAATGAACAGATACACAAAAACCAACAGATGGACTGAAAGATAGACAGGTGAGTAGACTGATAAATGAACAAACATATAAACAAATAGACAGACAGACAAACATATTGTTAGTAAATAGTCTTTTTTCTTAAATATGTATTTCTTTTCCCATATTTAACACATTTGTGCTGCTCCGTCTCTTCCAGGAGTTTCGTTTGTTTGTTTTTGGGGTTTGAGTGTAGAAAAGCATCGGCGTCAGAACTTTAACCGTCGTTTTCTCTATACACACAAAGATTCTGGCCGAAGCTCGTCTTTCCCTTCCAGCTTATGAAGGAAACATCATAACAATACGTCCACGAGTTCTTCAGCGCATGCATTACTCTTTCTTTCCCTTCAGACAACAAATAACAAACTCTGAGCAAATTTGCGTCTGTAACCGCAGTGTTATTGGATAAATATGTCATTGTCTCTGTGACTCGGGAATGGAGACGGACGTGCTGCGCTGCACTGCGGGAACGGGCCTCCTCTGAGGCATGAATAATTAAACATAACGAGCTTAAAGAATTTATAAAATGGAGGGGTGTGTTTATTTAAGGAAGTGGAGTTTAAAATGGCTGTTCAGGTGAACGACTGATGAATTATGCGCATGAAGCTGAGTTTATGAATCATCTTGTGTTGTCGTTTTGTAACAATGACGGATTGTACAATTATTGTCGCTGCAACATCAATGATAACGTCGTTTATGTGACTGCAGGGATCATTAAAATGAATTGTTATTCGATTTACTTTTAAACATTAAAATCATTAGTGCTATCCAACAGCAGTTGTTATCTTGAAATAAACAGATTATTTATTTAATATATAATATTTTATAATTATAAAATAATTATTTTAAATTAAAATTATAAATTAAATTATAAAATAATAATTATACATTTAATTATAAAATAGCTAATATATTTAATATATTTAATTAAATATATTTTGTCTAGTGAATGCAGTGGATTGATATTTTGTGTGCAATCATGTCAAATTTTTATTAGAACTTTTTTTATTTATTTTAAATATACGTTTACTGGCCTGGAACGTATATTGCAAATAATTGTATTTATATATTTAATAATAATTGCTATAAAATAACTTTATTATTTATCATTTTTAATCTTATATTGTTACATAAACAATTGAAAGCTTATTTTATACTAATAGATTTACCAATTATTTATTTATTATGTAATACATTATTTAAATTATACATTGAAAACTGCATCATATAGGAAGTTTCTTAAAAGGGAAATGCATTTTTATATATATAGCATGATTTCCAGGATGAAACATATATAATAATTTTATTTTATTATTTATTTCATTTTTTATTATAGATTTTATTTATCAGGAACTGATTGGATTATAAAATGTGAAAGTTGGAAGGGAGGGACTTGGTGATGTCACAGGAAAAGGAAAATTGTTTCAGCAATTAATACAATTTTGATGAAAAAGACATTGTTTTTATTTTGTTTTTGTTTTTTTTTAATTCCTGTGTAGAACTGAGTATGAAAATGATCTCAGATCTCACCTTTTTGTATAGCGACTGACTCTGGATCAGCATAAACAACTTCTGAAGGCCTCCCTGGGGAGGCAGAGATGTTGTACGACTGAATGTAGGTCAGTGTTTGCAGCATTTATAATGCCTCAGGAAGCTTTCTGTGTTATCTGAGAGACGGCAACTAAAACAAGACCCTAATTAGACTTGCCCTTCTTCGTAGTGCACTTCTTAGTGTTGTCTTTTCCTCCCTCTTTCTGTCTCTATTTATATTCTTCAACTCCGGTCATGGCACCAGCGGTTACATTCCCCCTCTCTCTTCTATCCTTCAGAGAAACATAACATAATTTGTTATCCGTAAATAAAACATAATTTGTTATGAGTAAACAGAACAAATGCTCTTTGGCGTGTGAATATTAGATTCCAGCTTTCAGTAAAATGCTTGGGAAATAGAGCTAAATGCTGGAGACCACTATATTTATCTTTAATTCTTTCTTTTACTGTCTTCTCATGCAGTGAACTGGCCTCATGCATTAGGAATAGTAATGCTTAGGACAAATGTTTTTTTGTTTTGTTTTGTTTTATTCTGTTTTGATGCCGGGGAGATTACAACATAAAATGTTTTTTTGTTTTGTTTTTTGCTTGATGTCGGGGAGATTCCAACACAAGATGGGTTTTGTTTTGTTTTGTTTTGTTTTGTTTTGTTTTGTTTTGTTTTGTTTTGTTTTTTGTTTTGTTTTGTTTTGTTTTTTGTTTTGTTTTCATGCATTAGGAATAGTAATGCTTAGGACAAATGTTTTTTTGTTTTGTTTTGTTTTATTCTGTTTTGATGCCGGGGAGATTACAACATAAAATGTTTTTTTGTTTTGTTTTTTGCTTGATGTCGGGGAGATTCCAACACAAGATGGGTTTTGTTTTGTTTTGTTTTTCCAACACAAGATGGGTTTTGTTTTGTTTTGTTTTGTTTTGTTTTGTTTTGTTTTGTTTTGTTTTGTTTTTTGTTTTGTTTTGTTTTTTGTTTTGTGCCGGGGAGATTCTAACACACAATGGTTTTGTTTTGTTTTGTGCCGGGGAGATTCTAACACACAATGGTTTTGTTTTGTTTTTTTGTCAAAAAAAACAATGAATGTTGCCTAAAAAATTAAATAGATGTATACTATATTATTTAAAATATAGTGTTTTATAATTGTAAAGCTAATATATTTTATTTATATTTTAAGTTATTATTATTTAAGTAATTAATTATTTATTTTAAATAGTTTAGTCATATTTTAATCATATTTGTATCTAGTTTATCTAGATATCTAGTATATATCTATTAATTATATATATAACACATAATAAAATTAATAGATATATACTATATATACTTAGGGCTGGGTATCGAGTTCGATACTTTTTAGGCACCAACGAATTGCCTCGATACCATCGAGTATCGAAAAACGTCTCGTCGTTCGGTACCAAATTT